AAAGTTATAAAAGACACTATATCACTCAAACATTACTAGAAGATTTAATTACTTATAGGGAAAAAAATCACGATACAGAAAATTGCTATTTCTTAAAAAGTTGTTCTATGTAAGAAAATTATTTTCATGACTCTTAAAATTTTTATTACTCTAAAGTCTACACAATTAATAATGTTCTATATCAAATCCTTATCAGGGCTTCCAAATATGTACCCAGCTTGCTTCAAAAAACAAGCTGGTTAACACACAGATTCAGCTTGTAAATCCCAACCACACACTCAAAAAGCCAGGTACTTGCAGTATAAAATGATTACCAATGCTCTCTCCAAGCACTTGATGCTTTATGTTCAATGCTAGCATTTTAGGTTCCATAAAGAGGAGAGCTGGGCTTGTGTCATGCTCCTTAAAACCATATTGTTTGCTTTTTAATGTCATCCTTCAATTTACCAAGTACCAAATCATGTCATGTAATGAAACAAACCCCAAACTATAAAAAATACCAAGAGGTTGAGAAAGAAAAAAAAAAATGAAGCAATAGCTACACGTCCTCTTAGTGGGTTCAGAGACTTTCTCTTTGGTTAGAATATTTTACTATGCTGGAAGTTATTTTCTCAGTCTGTGGAATCTAGAGATGAACCAAATATGACTTAAGCTGCTCTTAGTAAATTAATAATTTGGAAATCCCATGAAATTTATTACATCAGGGTTTTTCCTATAACTTTTCTAAAATCACAATATTATATATCAAATTTTATGGCATTAACCGTGCTATTTTTTAAAAATGACATAAATATTGTGCTCAGAACATACAAATAGATTATGGATCATACTTTTTCAATCTTTCCCACATAAACAGAATAATCATCAGCTGTTGAAATTGAATGTCATAAAGTCACCCTAAGTGTATCATGTCTACAATTACTCACTTGAAATGACCTTTCCATTGTTATTGCAAAGTAGTATTCTCTCCTGGGATATTTTCGCTCACACACCAAAACTTGATTGCATATTCTGCCCTTTTCTCCTGTTTGCTTGGTAAACAACTTTTTCCCAATCATTTGTGAGGAAACAGCTTTTGCTTCTTCTGGACTAAAATAAGAAAAAGAACTCAAATTCTTCTCTCCTCCAATTGAGAAAAACCAATCCACATGATAGCTAAAATCCCACCTCATCTAATATTTAAATCTCAGTATTTTCATCAATTCAATAATCACATCTTCAACAATGATTTTTCTTTAAAAAAAATGACTTACGAGAAAACTATCTTCACTCCTCCTTTGAGGCCACTTTCAAATGTTCCTTTTCCTCTACCACCAGCTAAAACCTGTGCCTTTATCACAACGTCTTTTGAACCTAGAAGAAAAACACTTCTTTAGATATGAAGCATGGAGCAGCATGCAAGACATTATTTTGTTATTTAGCATACATAGTAAGAGGTGTTACTAAGTCTCATTTATTCACAATGTCAAAAAAATGAGGCATTCCATGTACGTAGATTTCCTACATTAGAACACTAGAACATTCACCATCTAAAAGATCCACAACTTAAAAAATTTAGGCTCTCATATTAAACCATTTCTTAAAGCATATTGAAAATAATTTAACCATTCCTTGACACTTTAAATATCTATTAATAGTATTTGGAAGGCATTAAAAATACAAAATTGAGACTCATATGTCTTCTTAACACTTCTCTCTTTCTCTATTCATATGCAAACTTAATCCTGTGAAAATCTGAGTTATATATTGCTACTTTGAGCAGGAAGATGCCATGACTTGGGGGATACTACCAGTACCAGTATTGATACTGATTTATATTGTCCCAGTAACAGAAAATCCTGTTAATATACATTATTGAGCAGTACTGTTATGAGGAGTACTATCAGGAGTTACTGAGGTATGTATATCAAAAGATTCCAGAATGCTATGCTTATAAGTATTATGCATACTTTTTAAATAAATAGACTGAATTTTTCTTCTTTGACAGGTAGACTGATTACTATCTATCCATTTTCTTCCTCTTTCTAATTTGCTATGGAAAACCAGCAAATTAGCTGTTTAGCCTAGATACTACTCATCATTCACGATCAAAAGTAAATGCTTGGCCGGGAGCGGTGGCTCAC